TGTGAGTGTCATGATATTTTCTTGTGATTTTATATTTCTTGATATTCCTGTATGGGAATCCTGGGCACCTGAATCGGGAAAGCTGATGGAAGGGGTATATGGAGCTAATGGGGTGCTGCTGACTTGCAGTGAGTTAAGATTCTGGATGAAGTAAATTTAACTACTTTTCCACTAAGCTGAGTCTCTGAGTTGCAGTGTTGTTACTGTCCGAAGCGAACAGATCTCTGGAGGAAAATGTCCTCCAAATTGAGGCTTACCATAGATACCTACATAGGTGACATGGGGAAAGTTATGAGATTTCTAACATTATGTAAACAGTTCCCTTTTGCTCCAGTTTTTTTGAATCTGATACCATCCTTAGGATGGTACAGGGTGTGACAAAAGATACTTTTTTTTTATTCTCTTCCTGCTTCACTCCTATGTTATTAATATCAAATTTTGTTAAAATTATATTGAGTTCTTTTGACAGAGCAAAGAAGTAGGGAAGCAAGAGGGCATCATAAAAACTTACACTTCAGGCTTTCAAAGCAGTTACGATCAGAACCACTATTTCTTATTCCAAGGCAACTTACTAGAATCATTACCCAGTTGCTTGGATCGTAAGGTAGGGTGTGAATAGTTTCTTTCTGCGTATATGGCCCTGTTTCTAGGATTGATGGAAAATGTGATGCTTATGTTGTTACTTCTCAAGGAAATTGATAAGATTATAAAAAGAAATGACCAGCAGATTTTTCATAGTATCGTAGAATGTCTAAGTATAGACAGATTCTTGATTCCTCAAAAATTGTCAATTTCAACTGTTTACCTAGGTGTGATCACCTGGATGTGACAGATGAGTGGTTCTATGTCATCCAAGCTTTGGCGAGTCTGATTTTAAACAAGAATGTTATTTAATATGATCAATAAATTAACAAAGTTATACTGTCATTTAAATCTGATATTCCACATTGGTTGGTATGACTAGTTAGTTCAGGTGACAGAGTTGTCCATCTACCTAAGGAGAGGAAGGAATGAAGCCTGGATGAATTTTTATTTTGACCTCAGAGAATATTTCTGGCAGATACTTGATACTGTGTGTTAGAATTAGAGATCTTTCTTCTTTTTTTTTTTTAACATTTCTTACTGATTTATAATCATTTTACAATGTTGTGTCAAATTCTAGTGTATAGCACAATTTTTCAGTTATACATGAACATATATATATTCATTGTCACATTTTTTTCTCTGTGAGCTACCATAAGATCTTGTATATATTTCACTGTGCTATACAGTGTAACCTTGTTTATCTATTCTACAATTTTGAAATCCCAGTCTATCCCTTCCCACTCCCTGTCCCCTTGGGAACCACAAGTTTGTATTTTATGTCTATGAGTCTACTTCTGTTTTGTATTTATGCTTTGTTTGTTTGTTTGTTTGTTTTTAGATTCCACATATGAGCGATCTCATATGGTATTTTTTCTTTCTCTTTCTGGCTTACTTCACTTAGAATGACATTCTCCAGGAGCATCCATGTTGCTGCAAATGGTGTTACGTTGTCGGTTTTTATGGCTGAATAGTATTCCATTGTATAAATATATGACCTCTTCTTTATCTAGTCATCTGTTGATGGACATTTAGGCTGTCTCCATGTTTTGGCTATTGTAAATAGTGCTGCTATGAACATTGGGGTGCAGGTGTTATTTTGAAATAGGGTTCCTTCTGCATATATGCCCAGGAGCAGATTTAAGTTTTTTATGGTAATTTCTTTTACTTGCTCCTGTAAAAGAAAAAAATCAGACATTAAAGAAATCTTTGGCAAAGATTAATCTTTATTTTTTAATTATTTTCATTTAAAATTGGTATCTTTTTTTTACTTTAGGGTTGCCCTTGACACGAGTTGAACAAAGAATTTGAAGTTAATATTCATCCAATTTTGTGCATGCTTTTAGATGATTTTAGATTCAGGGTTAAAGTTAGGATTTAGAATCTTAGAATCTTAGCATTTTATTCTATTGTGTTTATTTGGATCTAGTAATTCCCTATTTTTGACTACAGAGTATAATAAACTGAATAATAAAAAAAATCATTATGTCTGCTATTTTGCTTACTGTATTGTGGAACTAGTCTTAAGGCCTGCTGAGTCAAATTGAGAATTGACTAAAGACTGTGTATAATTTGGGAGTTTCTAAGGAGGCTCTAAGAAGTAGTACCTCCTTTTCTACTTCGGTTTGGAATCAGTTGAGAAGTAAATATGTGGCAGATATGGGCCAAAATATCAACCTTATTATTGATAAAAATTAATTTGGAAGATGTGTTGGTGGGAGAGCCTAGTGAATACATTAATTGAACCACAAACCCAGCAGACTTGTACACTCACTTATGGCAGTGCCAGTCCAGTGAGGAGGCTGAGTAGGTACCTCCTCCTTCAGGGTCCCTACCTAGATCCCAAGAAAAACAAGGGTGAGGATGAGCCCAAAATATGCAGTATATTCTTCCCAGTCAGGTGAGTCATTTCATAAATGGGTGTGTTAGTTTTCTGAGGCTTCTGTAACAAATTACCACAAACTTGATGGCATAAAACAAAAGAAATTTATTCGTTCACAGTTCTGTGGGCCAGAAGTCTAAAATCATGTGTCAGCAGGATTGGTTCCCTTTGACGTCTCTGAAGGAGAGTCTGTTTCATGTCCCTCTCATAGCTCCCAGGAGCTATGGGCAGTATTTGATGTTCCTTGGCTTGTAGATGCGGAACTCCAGTTTCAGCCTCCATCTTCCCCTGGCCTTTTTACCCAGTGTCTTTGTGTTTATTTCCCCTTCTCTTCTAAGGACACTCATCATTGCATTTGTCCTAATCCAGGATCATCTTATCTTTACATAGCTGACCTTAACTGGGCATACCAAGTCTCTTTCCCCAAATAGGGTTATGTTTACAGGTTCCAGGTGGACGTATCTTTTGGAGGGACCATTATTTAATCCACTAAAAGGGATGGAGAGGCCAGGAGTTGGAGTAATTAAATAAGTAAAGATGCTGCCTGCTGGGAAACGTCAAGAGTTGGGAGCAGGTGTTCCTCCCTAGCATTCCTCAGCTTTTTGTTCTCATGGTCAACCAGATGTAGGAGGTTAGCAAAAATGGCCCTGTTCCTACCCTCTGATTGCGTTCTTGGCATTAACTTCAATCTGTGTTTCTTTGGCAGAATCTTTTAAAATCAACTGTCCATTTTGTGATCATTAATGGTTAAAACTAGGTAATATAGTCTGTATATTCGTTTAACTGCACACAGATGAAAGTCAGTTTGTCACAACACATTGAAAGCAAACAGACCAGTGAAGCTGCCATGTCAACATGCTCAAGGTGTAGAACTCCCCAAATTCTGTAAAGATGCCTCGTGACTTGTATGTTGTACGGACTGGGTGAGGGTACCCTTATCGCTCTATTATGAAATACTAGGAATGTCTAATTTCTTTCTTACTGAGAATTAAATAGAAACAATTATTTCCTTCCCACACTTCAGTGAATGTGTGTTCCCTGCTGTGCGTGAGTCTCATTTTGGAACACAGGCCAGGTCTAGATCATCATTCATTGTCTAGTAGAACTTTGTGCAGTGATGGAGACAGTCTGTATCTGTGTTGTGCAGATAGAGAACACTCACAATGTGACTATTGTGACTGAAGAATTGAATTTTTAATTTTCACTCAATTTTAATTAATCTAAATGTAAATTTAAATGATTGCATGTAGTTTGTGGAATGTATTGGGCAGCATAGGCTAAATATTTGTCAATGTCTAGGCTAAAACTATTAGAAGTAGTAAAATAAAGAGAATAATGAACACTGTAATAACCATAACATGCCTATGGTTTAATTTAAATATCTTAATTTTAATGACATTAGCAAAAGTAAAAGTAAAAGTTTATCCTAAATTAGTAGCTTCTTTCTATTTGTTAAAGATTTTGGACTTCTTTCAACTTGGAGTTTTTTTTTATAACTAAAAATTGGACGAAATTTTAGTCTCTTTTCTCTAATTATATTCTCTAGGCCTAAATTTATAACAAAATTATCCTTGTGGGCAAAATACTGATAATAGAAATTTGTCGAATTGGGAATCATTTCACATTTCTGTTTGCTGAAAATATAAATTAACTAATGTACACAGAAAGGTTTTACTTAAAAGGCTATTTATAACAAAAAAGTAGCTTTTCTTCTTTGTAAGTATGATACTACTTAAAGGTATAATATTTTATAATGTAAAAAGTGTCACTTTATGTTAAAATTTATTTTTCAAACAGGTAAGCAGATTTTGCTCATTCCCCAGTTATGCCATAAACATTTTATTATACAAAAACTTTAAACTTAATAGCTAGTTAGTCCATCAGTTTTATTTTTGCCTTTGATTGAAATATGGCTAGAGAGAACATTCATCTACTTACTGCCAGGGCATACAATATAGCATTAGATTTAAACCTACTTAAAAAGGAAATGTGAAAATAAGTCAAATAAAGCTCACACTTCTTGGATTTTATATAGTTTAAATTTTGGAGTGTACTTTTTATTCCAGAAGAGGGTATACTTTAAACTTGATGTTTTTGAACAGAAAACATTCCTTTCAATTGTTGCTGTAAAGTTGATGTCCCTTAAAAAATGACCAAATTCTTTAATTCCAGAATGTCCCTTAATGTACATGGGTAGAAAAGGGGGATGTAAGTGAACAATTTAGAGCACTTAAGACTAAAAATATCTTTTATTATACCTTTAATCTAGAAAAATGACTTTTTCCCTAAAGTTTTCTTTTCATGTTACTTTCTGAAAATGAATTCAAAATTATGTATTAAAGTCTTCAAGAGACCCTTTTGAAGTTCTATCTTTACAAAATAAAACCCACACTGATGTATATAACAGTTTAAGTTTTGAACTTAATTGAAGTTATCATTATAAATCACAAAGCATAACCATTAAGGAAAATAGAAACTATAAGTGAAAACAAAACTGTGGCTAGAAAGTGATATTTAATTCTTTGTGTTTTGACAGCTTGAAGGTCCATGTGTTTTGCAAATTCAGAAAATTCGCAATGTTGCTGCACCAAAGGATAATGAAGAATCTCAGGCTGCACCAAGAATGCTGCGTTTGCAGATGACTGATGGTCATGTAACTTGCACAGCAATAGAATTTAGTCACATGTCAAAAATAAGGTAATTGGCACTTTATTTTGTGTATTTGTTACAGAATGTTTAAAGGTACTATTCATAATGGATTTTTTTTAAGAACTTTGTAAAGAAGGATGAACTCTTAAGTGCATGTTAGTTTTTCAGGAGAGATTAAAGAGTTTGTATTTGTACTTTATCTGTGTTAGAAAAATAATTTTAAAATGGAGTTAGTTACTTCTTTTTTCAATGTTAATAATAAAAACAGAAATTTAAGGTTCTTACTGAAAAGTAATCTTTTCAATTTTATCAGTAAATTTTAAGGTTGTTAAAAAGTTGCCAGCACAAACAGAATTTCTTTAAATATATTACAGTTTCTTCCTTGACAGTTAGTTGTGTCTGTCACACTGTTTAGTGATCTAGAAAAGTTTATAGGCAAATGAGTTTTCTTGAGGGAAATGATCAAAGCTGGAGAGGTTTGTGTGCCACCAGACTTTCTAAGAGGAAGAAGAATTTCATAAGGAAAATTTTTCTAAATGTTTCTTTTGGCTATTTTTACAAGAGCTTTTAGAGTCATGCCTGTTGGAATGGAGAAAAGCAGTGAGAAGGAAGGGAAAACTGCCTCCTTTATTCTCAGCATCCCCATTAGATCAGTTTGGATATTTGCAACCACCCCCCTTTTTTTCTTAGTCATTTTATATGCTTATGTTTGCTGCTCAGTGTCCTTTGAGCTTTTTCATGTAACGTAAGCACTTAGACTACACTTCTCTTCTGAGCAAGCATTTAGCATCCACTGTGTTCCAGCCTCTGGTGCTGGAGGGACAAAGGTAAAAAGAATTTAGATTTTGCACCCAACTAGCTTATATGACAAAAGAGGTAGGTACACAGAATACAGATTATAGTAGAAAGAAACAACAGAAATGAATCAGAGTTCAGAAAATTGCCTCTACCTAGGGAATTCAGTATTGTGACTTAAAATATGAGTAGGTGTTGGAGAGAGATGAGAGGGAAAATAGCACATGCAAAGACTGGTGCCCTGACAACAGATGGGTGAAAAGTTCCACTTCGAGGCGCTTAAGTGATTTGGGATGGTAGTATATGGGAGGAAGCGTGGTAGGCTGACGCCTTGTGTGCCATGTTCAGTGATTTCTCTTCTTTTTTCCTTCCTTCAACTAGTCTCTGCCTCTGGTGAGGGAGGCTCCTTCCTTAGAAGATAAAATATATGTTCTTCTAAAAGGTTGACTTTCATACAAAAAGGGGTATATTGACTTAGTGATTCTGTTGTCTTCTTTTTGAAGAGTAGAAGGATTCCTACTTTGTGGAGAAACACAGCCTTTCCTCATTTGGCAAATTCAATCAGACCCCCTCCAAGGGAGTTCATAGATGACTCAGAAGGAAGACTTGCCATATAATGGCTCGTTCTCTCATTTTCCTGCTGTATATTCCTCTGAGGTAAATGAAGACACAAGATCAACCCCAAGATGAGGGCCCCTTATGCTGTCCACCGTTTTTTTGTGTGTGAATTTGTTACACTTTGACAGTGAAAAAAATTATTGCCACTTTCTCATTCACTCATCATTGAAGTAGTATGTCTACTTTTGGTGCTCTAAAAACAACAGCTTACAAAACTGTTGTCACTTGTGAACAATTTGGGAGACTATTTTCCGAATAAGTTTGGTTAGTGGTTATCTTAGAAGGCAGGTAGAAGAACTCACTAGAGAGGATAAACCAGGAACTGGTATAGAATGTATTTTCTCCAGTTGGCACTGCATTTCTCTGGGGTGCTTCTTTCGACCCATCTATCCTACCTCCTGCCCCATTTCTCACTGTATTTTTGTTTTTGTTTTTCTTTTTTTTTTTTAAATTTCAATGAAGAGAGAATGTAGGTACTTTAGGGTGCCAATAAAAATAGTAATTAAATCAAAATATGCTCTCTGATTAAGAGTTATGGCCCTGAAGATGATATCATAAAAATTATATTAAAATTTTAGCACCTATTTATTCTTTTGTGGGAATAGAACTATAATTTGATGAATGGAACTCTTTATCAATTATCCTAATGAAATTGTATGTCCAACTTCAAATAATTAGACATCTTTTTCCTCTTAACCTATTAGAGAGAGAGTTTGGAAAAGGTACAGTCATTTTACATAAAAAATAGCTCATCTGCTTTCAGATTACTTTTAATTTCAAAGTTATATTATCACAATTTAAATGCCTCTAATTTGTTTCCTATTTTTTAAGGTCTTATGTAAGTTTCTTAGACTGCTAATTGGTGTTTTTACATTATCGTTACATTTTCCAATTTTACCAATGTATTAGAAATTATTGGATAAAAATGGTTTTAAAGAATACACATAGATCTTATATAAATGATATAATTCATTAATAACTTCTTAAGAGATAAAGAGTATATATAGCAGCCTGGTATCCTTGAAGCTTTTTTTTTTTTTTTAATCCCTAAATGATGATTATAGAGTTACAAAAAAAATCTGAATCTGCTGTTTGCCTGAAATTGAGAAAAACTTTACTTAGTGTAACTGTATTCAGTTGTTGCCGATCTTGAAGTTTGATAGATACTATGCTAAGTTTACTACATTCGTCACCACACACAGCTCTACTTTAGAGTTAGGTTAGGCAGGGCTGTCCATGACCATTTGTTCTGTAAGATACATGTGATGACTAAGAGTGATTAAGCTTGGGGGTTTTCAGAATAATTTTAACAGATAATGTCTTACTCTGATGGGGTCCTTGAAGCCTTAAAAACATATTCTGTTTCTTCTTGTTAGTAACTATTATAAACCATCTTTCTTCCATATAGACTGGAGATACCCATACCAATGCTTTCATTGATTTGTTGTTGCACTTATTAGCACACAGTGAATTTTAAGAGCTTTTAAAAATGTAACAGTGTGACAATGTGAAGCCTTTCAGCATTATTTTCTAATTTATCCTAAATGTTTAAGTGTCTGAGTGTTTAATAAGTGTTTAAGGACTGTCTTTATTTTTATTTAGAGTATCTTACCACTTGCTGCAAGTGTGAAGAGGTGGGATGGGACTCCGTATATGTGCTTTTATTTTAGAATAAACTGTGTGATGAAGTGAATTTCTTCCATTGTTTCCTTTACCAAAAGATTGGCAGGAGGATAAACATCTTTTCTCTGTTTTTTTGTAGAAGGGATCATGGTGTAATAATATTTGCCCCAAAGCTGATAATATTAACCTATTATGGAGAAATCCTTTTGAAGTTAGTATGCTTTAGAGTGAAAAACTAACTCTCACTTGATCTTCAGCTGGATCGTTAACAAAAAAAGAGCCTTATTTTGTGTGGGTGATGGTAGTTCATATAGATGTTAACTGTCTAGGATTGTTACTGGTTTGATACCTTTTCTGTATTTAATTTTGTAACATAGATATACCTTTGAAATGCACAAAGTTCAGAGGGGAAAAAAGGCAAATCTCATTTTATACAGCATGACGTAATTGGGAAAGTACTTTCATATCTTTTATTCTAATTATCTTTACCACAAATTTGTGAAGTGTGACTTCTATTGTCTACATTTTTTTACATGTGGGAAAAAATTAAGGTAGAAAATGACAGTCTTGTACTTGGTCTTCTGACTTCCTCCCTGATGACCTATTTATACTGTATAGCCAGTCACCTGAAAAATAGGTTTCATGTTAGTGCATTTTGAAGAATTTTACTGGGTCATAGTAAGAGACTGAATTCCTGTTAGGGGGAGGACCTTCAGCCTATTTTAATTCTTTTTTTTTTTTTTTCACTTTTGCTTTAGCCTAAATACACCACCTGGAACTAAAGTGAAGCTTTCAGGTGTTGTAGACATAAAAAATGGATTCCTGCTCTTGAATGATTCTAATACCACAGTTCTTGGCGGTGAAGTGGAACACCTTATTGAGAAATGGGAGTTACAGAGAGTAAGTGTAAACTAAGAAGAATGGTTTGAACTTTTAAAACACTACTCTTTTTTAATGTATTCTCTATTTTAAGGAGATCTTCCTATAATGAATAGTAAAATTAGTCCTATAAAGGCCAGAGTTGAATAGGATGGAATACAGTGATCTTTACGGAAACTATCTACCTTTGTTTAAGCATATTGTTCTAAAACATGTCATTTTTCAATATTTGTTACATTTTATTACATAGTTTAAAAGTCATTCTTCAGTGACAATTCTTCAAAACTGCCAAGATACCAGTTATGTGTAATATATCTGCATATAATTCTTTCTGCAGAAAACAAGTTTCCATGCATATATATGAATAATGTGTATATATTTGTCTCATCTACATACACACACAGATACACATGAAAGCAAATTAGAATTTCACTATAACAAAAGGGTTCTTGTTGCATTTGTCTTCATAGTCTTGTTAGTTGATGTTTTCACCATTTGTGTTAACAATATCTTCATCCTCCTTGTCATCTGGGTTATGTAGAAATTGCTCTTCTACTTTGCTTCTCACCACCAGCTCTTTTGATCCACTGCAGTCAGATTTCTTATTAGTCCCTCGCTCTCTGGTTCCATTGCTGTTACTATGGTTTATAAGTCTTTTTGTCTCTTGCCTGGACTATTTGCAGTAACCTTATAACTGGTTTCACCGCATACCCTTTCTCCACCTTCTAATTTATTTATTGTACTTCTGCCAGATTATCTTCAGCGTAACTCAGACTATGCTACACCCTGCTTTTATTTCAAATACCTTAATCTGGGATTCAAGATTGTTTATAATCTAGCCCTAGTTCCAGTTTACCTTTTTAACTTTCTTAATTTTTTCACAGATTTTGTTCTAGCCATATGGAGCTACTTACTCTGTTTTTGATTCTCTATGCTTTCCTCAGTTGTACTGTTGAAAAAGAAAAAAATACTTTTGCACTCTTAAAGCCATTCATTTTATTTTCTCTCTTCTAATCCCTGCATGGCCATATTGTCCCCATGCTTTTTAGACTCAAATCAAATGCATGCTTTTTCCCAGAGTGAAATAACTGCCTCTTTATTGAAGAAATATTACTTTTTACCTAGCACTAAAATTATATTTATTATCTCCTTTAATAGATTGTAAGCTTTTTGAGGTCAGAATTCTTGTTTGTATCATCTTTATTCAGTTCTACAGGTATTGTTGAACAGTGTGTCAGTCTTGTGCTGGGCTTTTGCATCTGTATATCAGTCTTGTAAGAGAGTGTTATTATGTCCATATGGATCAGAAAATAGGCTTTAAGAACTATTAAACATATATTTATTATTAAACAGCTAATATGTGATGGATCTGAGCCATCCTGTATCTCCAGAGTGGTGGCCCTGAGTCTTACATGTAATAAACATCATAACAAATAATTATGAACTGAATGAACTACAAGCACATATGTTCTTGTGCCACTTTCAGATCTTGTCTGTTGTCTAAAGTGAGCCAAAGGGCCTAGCAAAATTTCAAGGTTTTGGTATTTTAAGATAAAAGGTATTTTTCTTGTAAATAGGTAAGGAAACTTAGGCACATTTTTTATTCCTTAGTACTCATTCCTTACGATACTAATGTGCTACATTTTGGGCTGCTGTACTATGCAGTATAAGATAATATTCCATAATTGCATTGTTTGATTGAAAATATTACACAGGCAGTAATTCAGAAGTGTTTTGATAGTTTTACATAAATAACCAAGTTTATAAACTTTGAATTTCTTAGAGAAATCCCACCCATTTCATTTGATCTTTTCCTTTCACAGGTTGACATACTATATTTTTATTATCATTAGAAATTTTTGAAAGTGTGGTGAGACGTTCTCAAGTCAGACCAACACATTATTACATAATTTTCCCAACCCAGCCAATACTGCCTCATTAATTATGAAGTCAGTCAAACGTCCCTAGGAACTTCTTACCTCCAGTGCATATGCGTGTGGGTGCATACACACAGACACACAGCAGTAGTATTGTCCTTGTAATGTTCTATTATGTATCTTTGAACTTCTTTTTTGAAAACCACACTAGTATTTCTTGTTAGGGGGCAATAAAAATTTACATGAAAAAGTTTAAAACGTCTTAATATGATTATAGTTCTCTTTGGTTTTATAGTTTTTTGATTTTGGTAATCATAGCGATGTAAAAATTTTGGAGAGTTCATATTACTTGAGCATCTGGCAGATGCTACACATAGAAACCAAATGTACACAGAGAAATCATAAACTATAGAGTAAATTTTGGGAGTAATGGGATCCTAAACATTCTTACAAAATAAATAGTGAGGGAGAAAACGTGGGACAGTATTTAAAGCATGTTTAGGTGTTATAGTTGTAGCAATTTGGTTACAAACAGGTGAAGGAAAGAAAAACTCAAACCTCAAAGTCCGATAAAGACAGATTTTGGAGAGTTCTGTACCAGAACTTTCTCTTAGGGATTACAGTCCTGCACTACTGTTTATCCTATGTCTTAAAACAGTTGTTTCTTACATGTTGTCCAGATTCCTAGTTGTAGAGGGAGATTAAGTCTGAGTTTTGTACATTCATCAAGATTGGAAGTAGAAATCCTGTAATGTGTTATTAATTATATAAAATATATTGGGAGGTGGTATTAGTGGCAACTTATGTTAGATTTTTAAGGAGGTCATAGCGTAAACTGAAATTGTTTACTGCTGTTTGAATAGTATTCTTCTTATGTCTAAATTAAAACCAAGGAAAGGACCCCTGGATAATTTTATGCATTTGCTGTTTTTTTTGTTGTTGTTGTTGTTTTGTTTTGTTTTGTTTTAAATAGACTTTATTCTTTTAGAGCAGTTTCAGGTTCACAACAGAATTGATCAGAAAATACAGAGAGTTTGCACATAGCCCTCCCCACCCACACATATATACTCCCCTACCCTCAACATCCCTCATCGGTGTGGCATATTGGTACAGTTGGTGAAACAGCATGGGCACGTTATCAACCAAAGTCCATAATTTACATTAGGGTTCACTCTTGATGTTGTGCATTCTATGGGCTTTGACAAATGCATAATGACATGTAGCCACCACTATAGTATCATACAGAATAATTTCATTGCCCTAAAAATCCCCTGTGCTCCATCTGTTCATTCCTCCCACCCTCCCTTTCCCCAAACCCTTGAAAACCACTATCTTTTTATTGTTTCTGTAGCTGTGCCTTTTCCAGAATGTCATTTGGTTGGAATCGTACAGTTTGTAGTCTTTTTAGACTGGCTTCTTTCATTTAGTAATATGTATTTTAAGTTTCTTCTATGTCTTTCATGGCTTGATAGATTTTTTTTTTTACTGCACATATATTTTTAAATTCACATATATGTACTGTTTTATTATTTCTAAGAATGTTTAGAGCTTTTGCTTTTTAAACTTACATAGTTATCAAAGGAGTAAAGCCAACCACAAAATAAGAATTAACTGAAAAAAGATACATACACCCTGCTATTAACAGCAACTTTATTTATAATTGCCAAGATACAGAAGCATCCTAAGTGCACATCAACAGTTGAATAGATAGTGGAGATGATATATATATATATAAAATGGAATACAACTCACCCATAAAAAGAGGCTATTTTGCTATTTGCAGCCCTTCATTCACTTTTTTTTTCCACTTCGAAAACCAGAATTTTGTAACTGGCAGAGACATTTCCATTACATCAAAAACAACAAAATACCTAGAAATAAACTTAACCAAGGAGGTTACCTATACTCTGAAAACCAAAATGACAAAAAGAAATGGAAAGATTTCTTGTGCTCTTGGATTGGAAGAATCAGCACCATCAAAATGGCCACACTACCCAAAGAAATCCACAGATCCAATGCAACCCCCATCAAAATACTTGTGACATTCCTCACATAACTAGCACAAACAATTACAAAATTTATAAGTAACCACAAAAGACTCTGAACAGCCAAAGCAATCTTTTGTAGGTCTCTCTCTCTCTCTTTTTTTTTCTTTTGCTCTTTCTTCTTTTTGTTCTCTTTTCTTACGGTTTGATGACTAGAGAAGGTCCTTTAACATTAGTTGTTAATAAAGCTGGTTTGGTGGTGCTGAAATCTTTTAGCTTTTGTTTATCTGTGAAGCTTTTGATCTCTCCATCAAGTCTGAATGAGAACCTTGCTGGATAGAGTATTCTTGGCTGTAATTTTCCCCCTTGCATCGCATTAAATATATCGTGCCACTCCCTCTGGCCTGTAGAGTTTCTGCTGAAAAATCAGCTGATAACCTTATGGAAGTTCCCTGTATGTTATTCGTTGCTTTTCTCTTGCTAATTGTAATATTTTCTTCTTATCCTTAATTGTTGTCAATTTGATTACTATGTGCCTTGGTGTGTTCCTCTTTGGGCTGATTCTGTGTGGTACTCTCTGTGCTTCCAGGGCTTGGGTGACTGTTTCCTTTCCCAAGTTGGGGAAGTTTTTGATTATTATCTCTCCAAAAATTTTCTCAGGTCCTTTCTCTCTTTATTCTCTTTCTGGGACCCCTATAATGCGAATATTAGAGTGCTTCATGTTGTCCCAGAGTTCTCTTAAACTATCGTTCCTTTTTATTCTTTTTTCTTTTTTTTGTTCTGAAGTAGTGATTTCCACTAATCTGTCTTCTAGCTCACTGATCCGTTCTTCTGCCTCATTTAGTCTCTTCTTTGTTCCTTCTAGTGTATTGTTCATTTCAGTGATTTTATTCTTCATCTCTGTTTGGGTATTTTTTATATTTTCCAACTCTTCTAAAAACTTCATTCTGTGCATCTATATTTCTCTTGAGTTCTCTGAATATCTTGGCCATCATTACTTTAAAATCTTTCTCAGATAAATTACCTGTCTCCTCATCACTTATTTCTTCTTCTGGGATTTCATCTTGTGCCTTGGCCTGGAAGATGTTCCTTTGCCGTCTCATATTGTCTATCTTTCTATGTGTTTGTTGATTCCTTCCACAGACTTTAGGATTATTGTTTTCTTATTTCTTGTATCTACCCCTGGTGGATAAGGCTGGATTAGAGGCTTATGCAGGTTTCCTGGCAGGAGGAGCTGGTGCCTGCCCACTGCTGGGTGAAGCTTGGTCCTGGACCTCTGGTGGGTAGGGCTGTGTGTCTGGAGGCCTTTGTGGCTTAGGAAGTCTGATGATGGATGGGGCTGTGTCCCA